AAATGCAGGCGAGAGTGCGATTCGTTGAGCAGCGGAGCAAGCCGTGGAGGTGGAAGCTGAGAACTGGCGACTTTGTAGTGCAACTTTAGTACGCGGAGTAGCTGGGGAGCTGGAAGCTGAGAACTGGCGACGTGGTAGTACAACTGTAGTACGCGGAGTAGCTGGGGAGTGGGAAGATGAGAACTGTTGTCGTTACTTTGTTGCATTTTTCTGTAGGAGAGGCGATTGGAAAATGAGCAGCATAGTGGTTCTGAACTACATCTAGAGCGAAGCACATGTCACCCTCAGAGCGCCTGCGCCAACAGACTGTGCATTTTCCGTGGCTGACCTTTCGGTGCTCACAGTGACACTGCAGAAGTCTCCATACAACTTGGGCCAACTACCAAAATATCAACTCAACAGCAATGAAGAATATACTTGCAAGAAGTTTGAACGCGCCCCACAAGCTTTTGCAATATTCATTTCCCACATAAACCTTTACAAGGCAAACCGAGCCTTCTTATGGCTATGCATGTGCTATTTACCAATTTGCAGCCCACTAGAGACCTCTTTGCCCAGCCATCATGCCAGGGAACCTTGGCATTGTTGAGGATCACTTCTTCAGCGTCGCCCATGATGACCAGAGACAGGTGTGCCTCTGTTGGTCCTATGGAAGCAGGACATACCATGACGACCAGCCAGAGCTCATCCATGCTGGGTTGCCCATGGAGAAACCTGGCAGTTTTGGCGAGTGGTCCAGTGGTCCAGTGGATGGCGCGACTGGGTGAGGAACAACAGCCGCAACTTCACAGATGCCTACACCATCCAGATCTGCTTCGGGCGGACGCGCTAGACTCGCTAGACCCAGACCAGGCAAATACCCTGACTTCTTCCTGACAAATCCTGTGTGGACGTCGTTCTGCGGAAGCATGCAGAACACTGTCTTTTCTGTGCACAAAGACTAGTCGCGTGTATCACCGCGACGGCATGGACGCCGTTCTGCAGAAGTGTCGTCGCGCCGACTAGACGGCCCAGGCAAACAAAAATAGGCGCGGGACCACAGTGAGCTTCAGCCTCTGATCTCAGCAAACAGCTTGGCGCAAGGGACATCTTATTGGTTTCTCCCCAAAGCTCTTGTTTCTCTGGCCAGGCATACTCTTCTACCAGGAGGCGAGGACGGGCAAGGGCAGAAGACGAAGACAAATACCTCAGTACATGTGAAACGTGAGGAAGATCCTACACCTGAGAATCAGGTCCATGCTGACGCATGGATACCAATGATGTCTACATGATGCATGGATACCAGGCCTGCAATATGATGTTTACATGATAACCAACTGCATGTCTCCTACCGTGACTTCTTCCTCACAAATCCTTTGCGGACGTCGTTCTGCGGAAGCGCAACACTATCTTTCCTGTGTACAAAGACTGGTCGGGAGCTGAACAGCGAGAGTACGCTAAAACATCTACAGTGCCTGCTGTGCGTCACCTCGCGCTACTTTGTCGCGTTTTTCTTTGAGACAGTCACTTAGTCAATGACAAGCATAGTGGTTGGTTAACTACATCCTAGAAAAGCTGTGTCCTGGAGTGAGGTAAACGTTTTTTTTCCCGGAAGATATGTATATATAATATAAAAATATATATATATATATCGATGGACGCGTCTCCTCTGACAGGTCACTGCTTCGAGACACTTCTGGCGTGGTTGCCTCAGCATTTTCTGTGTTCATTCCAGCTCGCTTTTTCCGGTGAGATTCACTGCAGCCGTGCACGCTGCTTTTCCCCTTACCAGCAGCTCACATGCTCATGACGATGAGCTGGGCTGTCACCGCTTGGCCGCCGGTGGGGGTTTGGGAGGCCTGCGCGCTACTTCGTTCATTTCCTCTGACAGGTCACTGCTTCGAGACACTTCTTGCGTGGCTGCCTCAGCACTTTTCTGTCTTCATTCCGGCTCGTCTTTTTCAGTGAGATTGCGAAGAGTAGTAAGGCCGCTGATCGAATCCGCAGACCAACGTTCTCGACTGCGGCCCAACTGCCTGATGCTAAATCAAAGTCAAAGCTCCCATGTGGCAAAAAGCCGAAGCGCGCGCGTCCTTGCCACTGGACTTACAGGCCACGTTCACAAGTGGAGCGTAGAATTGTAAACATTCAATACATTGATCGTGTGCTACTAGGGGCTCCTGGCCGTACTACTGACAACAAGAAGCTACTAGTAACAAGGACGCTACTAGGGGCTCCTGGCCTTACTACTAGTAACAAGAAGCTACTACCAGGGAACCTACGTTTCGTTTAGTTTCGTATTTCGTTTCGCGTTTCGTTTCGTTTCGCGTTTCGTTTCGCGTTTCGTTTCGTTTCGTTTCGTTTCGTTTCGTTTCGTTTCGCCGAATCAACTCCACTCGGTGCGAATACGTGTCATGGAGTCTGCAGGAGACCCCCGTTTGACCCCCTGGAAGGACAATAGACCACGACCCATTGGTGGAGGGTTTCCATGAATAACACAACTACACACCTATGTCGATTACCTAGATCCTGGCAGGACGCTACTAGGTGCTCTTGCCCTTAAGCTACTAGCAGGAAACCTACGTAACACTTCACACCGCACACTTGACAGATGACTCGCACTCTGACTTCCTACGTGGTGAAAAATGCTTTCGGGCCACTCGTCGTCTAGTGTTTTGTGTTGCTCCCCCCTACCAATAAGCAGAGTCTCCATCCTTCTTATGATGACCTGGGCGCACCGCCCACATGGCGTCCGTACTCGTGGAAAAAAACAAATCCCACAGCCTCTGTGAAAGGAAAAGACTTATGGCCGGATGGTGAAGTACTGAGTGCAAAGGCTGAATTCATTGCTCCCTTTGTCTCACCTGGTTTCACTCCTTTCTGCTGGCTGACGCAGCCAACTTGAGGTACGAACCTTGCTCCTTTTGGGTGTTTTGGGTTTGTTGGTTTGGGTCTTGTTGTTCTGGTTTCGATTTGCCGCTTGGTTCGTATCTCTCTCTTTTACTAGCCTAAGGTGACTTGTGCATCCTCTGCACACACAGCGCCTCGACCCGTGCAAAAAAAAAAGTCGATGTCTTTCCCCTCAACCTCCAAAATAGGCTTCCGAATCGAGATACCAGTCCAGGCCGATACGGCCCTAGCTCGACGATTCCGCCCCGACGAGCTTAAACCCGGATTGGTGACAACTCGGACACAAACACCAGCATCACAGGCACTAGGAAGCCGTCTCCACTCATGGCGGAGCCAGTCATCTTGGTCGACGACCGCGCCCTTCTGCGTCCGGAGGATCGCCTGCTGCCGAAGAGGCAGAAGGAGACCTACATAGTCCCGGAGGGCAAGGATTCCTTTTTAAGTTCGCTGAGTGGCTCACAAACGATCCTACTTGGCCAGGGTGGAAGCCTTTTGTCAGAAAAGGAAACGCCTATGATGTTTTTCAGGCGATTTACCAGCAACAGCAAGCAGAGTTTTCTTGGAACACACTCCTGTGGACAGTAGCCCAGCGCAAGGACGTGTAAGTTGCTGCCCTCTCATCTCTGCTGAGCACCTTGGGTGATCTGCAGTTCAAGCTGCAAATCAGCAAGCAGCAAGATACAATAGAGGCAGAAAACAACGGACCAGTTCCCACAATGAAGGAGCCGCCTCTTCACACTCTTTCTGCAGGCAGGTGCGCCATTCACATGGGCAGCCTGTCCAGAAGAGGCGCAGCGATCTTGTACAGGTGCGCCAAAAAATCGTCTTTGCGACGCCATTTTCTTCTGTCGGAAAGAAGATCTGTTTGATGATGTGCTGTGAAAGGCAAAGCTCCGATTGAATTTTTTGTGGCAATTGACAATCTCACTCAGCCAGCGAAAGAGCGGTCTTTAATTGTACGAGTTGTGCTAGAGCCGCTTCATGAAGATTCAATCTGCGGAATGTCGGATAAGACAAAAGATCCGTCGGCAGAACCAAAAAGAAAATTGGCGGGCTTTGTGGCTTTGGATGTGTAAGGTGGGGTGTTCATTTGATTCCATTCCACGGTTCACTGCACCGCCTCCCATGGGTCGCAGTTAGCTGTTCAACTCTTCCGCGGCGTCTCGCACCCATAACTGTGCACTTACATCAACACACACACACACACCTTTGAAGCAGGTTGGCAGGATGTTAGATTTAGGATTTGGTTTATTGAATCATGCAAAACATCCGGTTCATGACAACTCGATCAGTGGCTCAAACAAGCCAAACGGGTTGCTTCGCCTTTTGGCATTTACGCAAATTACGCACTGGAAACAATAAGAGACCGGCAGCTTGAGCGAGTGATGTTGGTGGCCAACGATTTGGTGCCATCCTTTCTTGTGTTTTGGTGTCATTGACAATGATTTGTCGAAACACGTTGTAGCTGCCATGTGACGGTTGGACATTCTCACGCAGGTTTTGATTGTTGCGCATTGGCAGTGGCATGTGTTTCCATCAAACGAAACAACGTGTTTTTGGAACAACCACACATTGCATTCAATCACAAAACTCAAATTCGAACATACCCACTCTCGTTTGCTTCATTGATTTCAGGAAACGGTTCCAGCTTGTCAGGTTCCACATATTTTTTTCCAAAGTTCAACTTTGTGACAATGTTTTCGTACAATGACGTGTGCACATTGCAGGTCGCATGAAATAAATTGAAACCAAAAACAATTGTTGAACTCAGCACGTTGCCAGCTTTTTTGAACCGGACAAGTTTGGAACGGCTGTAAATACAAATATTTGTATCAAACGGCTGAAACTTGTGGCCAAAGTCGTTCGATAGTATACGTAGTTTTTCGCTATAGCAGTTTGCACCCTCCGCAGCAATTGGCAAAGGATGAATTCAGTTATGATTGTTTTTTTGCAGGCAATCCTGTTTGAAACTAGCTAGCTGTTTTGTACAGGGATTTCAGATGACCAAACACACATGATTAGAAGTGGATGTTTTTGTCAAGTTTCGACCTGACACACATAGTGATTCTATGCAATACTTTCTGGGTTGTTTTTTTTGTGTTTCTTGCTGAACGCTTTCGACAACGATGAGCGGTAGCTGGAATGCTGGACCGAAGGCAATCACATGGGCATGTTTAATGAACATTTTTTAAACAAAACTTTTTGTCGTAACAACGGATGGAACCACAGCGCGTCAAAGCGCTTGTTGCAGGTCGCGTTGCATAGAAAGGCCACTTCACTCGCTTTGCTCTTGGCGGAGGACCAGGGTCAAATAGTGGCCCAGAGGACCTAGTTAGTTGTCCAACCTCTGCGCATTTGCCGATGTTTTTCATGCGCACACTATCTGATTTCCCTCATACATATGTTAAGGGAACAGGATTACATCGGTCATTGATCTTAGGGGTCGTAAGCACAGATTCTGTTGGATCAGTGGGGGACTCCAAATCCGCCCTGGTCCAGTGTTTGGGTCGTCTCACTGTGTAACTTCTCTTCACAACATGTTGTGCCCGGAGTTCTCGAAGGCTCAATTTTTTCCTTTGTTTGGCTGGGATCTTGCAGGATACTTCATGGATTTCTCCTTTTTTGGTCAAGATCTCAGCTATGTCTCTTGAGTTTCGGACCCTTGCAAACGGGCTAGCCGCAGCTTTTTTGCAGGTCATTTCACTGGACAGAGGCCATTGGGTCGATTCAGCCTTCGTCAACCTCCTCCGTCTCATATCCTTCACAGATCTTCATGTGGGTCATGTGTAGCTCATAGACAGGACTTAGCACAGCGAGGAAGACAGCATTTAGTTCGTTAGTCAGCCTTGCACACCGCATTGTTTGGAAGTGACAGCTTGTGTGGAGGCAGAAGAGGTGGTCAATGAACCAGACTTTCAGAAATTCATCGAGGAGAGGATGAATCTTTGTTCAACCCTTCAACATGTCGGGTTTAGACGGTTTAGCTCTAAAATTGCACCAATGTGACATTTGTAGCTTGCCCAAAGTGCGATTGACCCTCAACTGCACTCACGGTGCTACAGCCTTATGCTTTTGAAAAAGGATCACAAGGCCCTTGATTTGATTGAATCCCGATGCTACAACGTCTTGAGAATCTGCAAGTTCCATGTCCTTTTGCATGTTCTGTAGAGGAGAAGATCCTTTTTTTCGAGCGGTCTCGTCAGCGAATGCTGCAAGACAATGTTGCTACTGAAGACGTGGTGGACATCCAGTATAGCAATCTTACCTGGATACCACCATTGGATTTAAGTCCACCTGGTGCATTCGGTGGTGCCTCTCCGCAGAAAATAGCAAAGCTTTCTTGTGAGCAGGTGAATTGCCACGTAGTCCCAGTATTTCTGTGCTAAGGGAGCCTTGGGGGATGGAGATAGTTGCTAAGCGGATTGCACTGTTGATGGTGTTTGGTGGTACTATTTTGGGTGCTGTCCAGATGTGAGGTGCATGCCTCTATGCCGGGACGAATTACACATCCTGGCGAATTCACACCGACAAGAACATGACTGACAATACTGCACGCTTGCGAGCTGTTAGGCTTGGGGTCTTGGGCAGATCTTTGAGGGTCAAAGAAGCGTGGTTTATCAATTTTGTGCACCCTTGCAAAATTAGTAGAAAGGAACTTCTCTCTATTTTCCTCCCCTGTCTCTTCTTTACATACAGAGAGAGTACTTGATGCAAATAGCATCCTTTTCTTGCACATTGCTTTCAAATGGTTGTCAAAAGAGGAGTTGTTGGATTCATTCCTCCAGTGGCCTGTGCCAGGCCCAACTTGCAAACTCCCGGTGCTCCAGCAGGGCACTGCTTGATTGAGGCCGAGTGCTTTCGTCTCCCGGTTGCCAGACTTGGAAGGATCACTCAGAAGAACGGAGGACGTAGTTCTGTTCCTAGCTCCCAGCATGTTTGGATGTCCTCAGCTCCGCATTTGACATGAAGAGCCCAAGAGCTTTGTTTGGAGCTTGGGGTGCCCGAGCTGCGATCTTGGCAGGAATACAACTTTGTGGATGTTGTGCCACCATTGGATGGAAGCATCACCTTCCGCGCTCAACTCACGGACTGCAGAAGGGTTCTGTTCTGTTTGGACTCGTGGACCCGAGAGCCATTTTGTGCAGGAAGTCTGGTACACTGGTGGCATCACCTTCAGTCAAGGTGGCCAAGTGAAGTTGTGCCTTTCACCTCTCGGGACGTTGCTCTGAGACATTTAGCATGTCCTAGTAGCGATGCACGGAGCCCCGTTCGTAGCGTCTGATCGCTCCGTTCGTAGCGATGCCCTTTGTTCCTAGTTACTGTGTCTTAGTTACTGTGTCATGAAAGAGAAGACATAGTTGACAACTGGTCAGTACTCAGTAGCTACTCTTTCATCTCTTGGCACAGTCGAAGCTGATGCTGCTTGATCTGACTTCTCATTTAGGAACAACCCCGATTCGTGACTCTGTACTTAGCTTGATTTGAGATTCGCTGAATCGGCGACCAAGGTTTGCCGACCCATCAATTCCAGCGTTGGGAGATGCTGCATTAGTTCCAGATGGATCCTGAGCTGCACTAGTGGCTGCTTGCGCATGACCCTCGCTGTTCGTAGGGACAGAGACGATACTGGCCAGACCCGTTGCGTAGACTTGTTGGGTTTCGTAGGCAGCTAGACGCTCTCGCAATCGCACGGAGATCACTTTTCCCCACAACTTCACGCACCGTGGGAAGGGCCAAGGACCCGGGGCGGACCCAAAGGAGACAACGGCATTGGCCCAGCAGATTCCTTCGCAGTTGGCCAGGCTACACAGAATATCGAGTTCTTGGCGCCATGGACACTTGCGACCAGGGTCCAGGTGAGCGGGGACATCCGCGAAGCAGTGTGACATCAGCGAAGATTCGAAAACAGGTGACTTCGGTGACTTCACAGTGGGTTAGTGGTACTTTCATCAGCAATGTAGGAACTTAAGTGGGGTGCAAACTCTTGCGACAGCATAGGCTGCCTTCAAAAGCGACGATTCTTTTGCCACCTGCCACATCAGCCACCTCGGCAGCAAAGTCGGCCACACTGCTTGGACCAACTAGCTCTTTCTGAATCTTGTTATGAACTGTTTCTGATAAAACGTAACTCTTTAGTAATTAATTGGTAGGAGGGATCAGAGGAGCCAGTGTCGCTTCCAACGATGTTGCCACAGCAAGAGTTCGTCTAGCCCTTTAGGTATTATACGCGATACTTGCCCTACGATCTGAACTGCGATATGCCTCTTGGCAAAGAAAGAAAAATAGAAAAAGCCAAGGGCTTTTCAGCAGCATCTACCGTGCACTCCTAAAGCCTATTCAAACGTGACAAGTCTGACCATATTTAAAGGAACCCCTATTTTTCGGGTATTTTTTTCATTTTTTCTGGTATTTTTTTCCAATTTTTTTCCCCTACTGCTTTCTTTTTCTTTTTGCTTCTGCTTTTGCTTTTGCTTCTGCATCTGCTTTTGCATCTGCTTCTGCTTTTTGCTTCTGCATTTGCTTTTGCTTTTCCTTCTACATTTGCTTTTTGCTGCTGCTTCTGCTTTTGCTTTTTGCTTCTACTTTTGCATCTGCTTTTGCTTTTGCCCTTTGCTGTTGCTTTTTGCTTTTTGCTTTGGCTTCTGCATCTGCTTTTGCATCTGCTTTTGCGTCGGCATTTGCCTTTTGCTTCTGCTTCGGCTTTTGCATTCTGCTTTAGCAATTAGAGCCTGTGCTGCTGCAAGTGGCCAGCTTCCACAGCTGTGCTGCTTGCAGTGGCCCGGGTCTAACGAGCGTGAGTTACTGCAAGGGGACAGCTTTCAACACTGCGCTGGTTGCCGTAAAGACCCTGTGCTGCTGCAAGTGGCCAGCTTCCACAGCTGCGCTGCTTGCAGTGGCTAGGGTCTAACTAGGGTGTGTTGCTGCAAGCGGCGAGCTTCCCACTCCTACGCGATGCAGGGGTAAAATTTAGAGAAGGAAGTGGCCATTCTGTGGGCCATGCGGGGTAAAATTTAGATAAGGATGTTGCCATCTCAACTTGACACCCTTTTGTGGGCCATGCAGGGGTAAAATTTAGAGAAGGATGTTG